TTAAAAAAATAAAAAATATGATAGTATTTTAAAATTTAATTTGCTACTATAATTGAATTTCATTGTATATATTTAATATGTATATGTATATATGAATTAAAAATGAATTTATCAATTTTATACTTGCTAGAACAATTTTAATATATTTTTTTTTATATAAAATACGTTAATGAATAATATAGTCATTATTAAATTTAATAAATTATTTATCTATTTGTATGTATAAATTAATTCTAATCATTAATTTATTATTATATACGTAACGAATACATAAATTAATATTTTTATATCCGTATAATTATACTTACTCACTGGAATGATATTTGATTTTTAGGAATGTGTGCATTCTTAAAAGAAACCGTTATAAAATCATTTACTTTTATAGATTTAGAAGCTTTTTAAAATAATAAATCCATATTACCTCAATCCGAAAAAACACGATTAAATATTCTCAGTTCTTGGTCATTAATGTCACAAATACCTAAAATCGAACATGAAATAAAAGTATGGCGGAAATTTAATAAAGAAAGACAGACTTTATGAGACAGCTATTGTAAATCTATCGATTAATTGCCTGTCATAGTGCTGTATCGATTTGAATAATTAAAATATTTAAGATTTAACTCAATGAAACTACGAGTATCAAGATACGTTTAGGTTATAATTCCTACGAAAATGACTTACACGTTGAATTAACAAATAGTTATAATCAGATATAGTTGTAATTATAGATACTTTGTCAGACATATTTACATGAGTGATTGCTATTAAAAAGAAAAATAAATCAAAGGAGAAATAATTAATATAGAGAAGCATTATGGCGTAATCAACGTTTTGGATCTGAAATGTACGAATTTAATAAAAGAAGACTTATGAAGATTAAAATCAAAACGACTGATATCATCACTAATAAAATTGTTTGTCTTACGTAAAATAAAATCCGATACCTAATATAAGAGCAAACATTAAAACGAAAGGCAATATGTAAGTTTGTGGAAGTTATATATTGCATATCATTTTGTATGCTTAACGAAATTACAAAGCATTATCAGCCTTCAGAAGCTATTTTCAAAAGCATTAATTTTGCAATATCTATTTACATTATATAATTATAGCTAAGTAATACAACTAGATACCATTGTATATAAATGGAGCTTCAATGACATCCTAATTCAGGAGTATAAGTATATGTTTAGATAAAGATAGAAATAATTGAATTGTTTATTCACATCAATAAATCAGATATAAAAACAATAATCCTAATATAAATTAAAAATTCTACTCACAATTAGTAGTACCTCGTTGTTTTTAGATTTATCATTTATATCTTAATTCATCACTATTAGTATAAATGCAAATCCAAGGAACATCCTATTAAATACATTTTAAAACGTATAGTAGTTAATAAAAAATAGTGACGTGTAGACACAAAATGGATAATAAAAAAGAAACGAATATTTTGTAAGATAATCAGCTACTAAAAATAAGCTTTTTCGCGCATATTAAAACAATATGTCGAGAGCTGCGGTTATAATAAAATAAAACATGTTTGATCGGTGAAATTTTTACCTTTAATTAAACATTTTATTATTCAGATTCAAATAATTGCACGTGATCCAATAGGAAAGAAAAGAGGCGATAAGAAAATGTTGTGTAATCTACCAAATATAATTAACTAAAATATTATATAATACAACTTGATTAAAATACAAAAATAATAAAATCATACAAATAATATAATCATATTACAAATCTACTTTTGCACTCTCTTCAAAGTAATATAAAATTATAAATAAATTCAGTTTCATAGTTACTAATTAAACTTTATAACATACGTTGATCAATTTAAAAAATATATATGTATAAAATGACAATATTCGTACTTTTTCAATATTCTAAGTTTAAAATATTTATACAATATTTATAAATTATATATTAAATAATTAATACATTAACTGATGAGATCGAGATGGTAAATATCAGAGCTGAATATGAGAAAAACTTTTTAATCAAATACATTTATAAACATAGTAAAGAGTGCGATTCATTATAAGATCATCATTAGATGTATAATAATTAAAAAATAGAATTCTATCAAGAAAATTTGTAAGAAAAAATGTATTGGTAGACATTCTGTAATTTTGAAGAATATACATTTTTCAGGTATTATTTATCTGTTTTTTTTTTAATTAATTTCAAACTTATTTGAATAATTAATTTCCTTAATAACAAATATGTTTTTACTTATTAAAACAGTAGAATTTTTTGTATAATGTAAGTATAAATAGTAACTGAATAAAATAATATAAATATAACTATTATATCAAAGAGCTATAGACACATATAAAAACTTATTTTTAAATTATTTATATAATTTTATAATATTATATAATATTATTTTTGTACTACATATCATAACATCGTACAACCTACAACTTGGGAATAGTGTTAATATTTTATAATATAATTGATTTAAATTTACAGATGTGATTTTTATAATATTTTATAATAATGATAGATGTTTTAATATTATAACATAGTATTTACTTATTAGAGAAAGATATTGCTGCAATTTAAATGTGAGAAAAATTTTTTTTTTTTTTTTAAATAAATAAAGAAATAAATCTTTAAAGAGTAAAACATTTAACAAAAACATGATTTTACCATGAAAATAGACAATAAAATGTTAAATTAAATATTTCATTTAAAGTGTAATGTTGGGATATATCATACATAATATTTTAAATTACTAGTATATTATTTTTTTTCCCTATAAAATAATATATAAGATAATACAAAATATCATTTATTATTAGGTTCAAGTACTGTTTATTATATATTGATTACTTTTAGAAGAAACTTTTTAAACATTTTTTAAATATAAGTTTTACAATCTAACTTATAAGTTTCAGAAATATAAGTATTATAAGCTAATTATATACTTAATTGTTTTTTACAATTCAGTTAAATATAATGTGTGAATCAAATTTTTATTTAATGTGAGATATTGACAAACCAAAATTTATTGAAAATAATAAATTTAATTATTCATGAAATTAATTTTTATAACTAAATTAAAATATTTTTATTATGAATAATATATTAATAATTATAATAGAGCATTCCAAAATTTTTGAAATTAAGTAAAATTAAGTTATTTGTAAACCAATTATTGTGAATATTATCAAATGATTATTGAACAACATAATATTTAATATAAACAATATTATTATAATTTATTATCCGTATATAATAAATGAAACGTTATAAACGTTTTATCAGCATCCTTTGATACACAATAATGTAATTTAAAATATATTTATTTATTTACTTAATTTCAATATTTGATATTATGTTACTTGTCTCTAATCAAATTTCATATTCACTGTAATATATATTTTCATATGCATATGCATATATTGTACCTACATTTAAATTTGAATTTTGTTTAAAGAATACTTTTAAATATGTAAAAATAGTTGTAATATATCGATAATTGGTAAAATGGTATTATTTAAAAAATTTGAACTTAATTTGAAAGCTTATCATATATTTTATTACCTTATATATTAACAACGCACAGAATTTTAATTTTTAAAAATGAATTTTTTAATATGACACTTTAGAACGAAATCAATTGTACTCTTTTCAATTGTATTTCAGCATCAAGAATATAGATCATGTTTCAAAATTTTTATATTAATTTGAATATTAATATCTCAGAAATGGTTCGGAAAAAATCTTATTAAACCATATAGATGAAGAAAAATACAGAATGATTCCAAAATAAAAAAAATTTTGAAAAATATTTGAAAAAGATTAATGTATTATTAAAAAAACTGATATATATCATAGTTATTTTGAAACTATTAATCTGCATCGATGAAGTTTTCTATTTTTCGCGTTGTTGGAAATATATTTTTTAAATTAACAAAAATAAAGAATATTTAATTATTCGATTAATAAGATAACTATAATTTCGGAAGATAACTAACAATTCATAAGATTTAAAAAAATAATATAACTGTAATAATGAAGTGGAAGAAAATTAAAATTTTAATCAATATGATAAATAAACATTAGTCTATGTGTTTATTATTGCAACTTATAATAATTAATTTATAATAATTTATAACTTCTAAGTGTTCAATAATAAACATAGATATTAGTATGTATATGAAATGTTAAAAACAATTTTTTTCTACTTTGGATAAAAATTAAAAAGATAAAATAATAATTAGTCAAGATGGATTCATTTTGATTTCTAGTGACAGCATAATAAAAATGGAAGGAACTATATGATATGCTTACGAAAAAGTTCCGAAATATTTTACACATAGGAGTTTAATAGAATGTATGTGCTAAAAATTTCAACATTTCGTAAAAGAAAAGGTATTATCCATTCATTTTGTTTAGTTATCTGTAAAAGAAGGAGGGAATTTTAGTGCATATTTAAACAATCATCTATAATGATAATCTAAATAATTGTTCTATTTTTAAATAAAGAATATTACTTAACTCATTTGCTAGAAAGAAGTGGTAAATCACAATTGCAATAAAAGCATAACCTTTAATTAGACATATATATTCATATTACAAAAGCCTGCATTATATAATTTATCTATGTCATATTTTTTTATTTACTTATGATATGCACTGAAGTAATAAATAGAAACAATGTTAACAAATTGACAAATGTTATAGTTTTAATAAAAAATTTAATGCATTTAATCACAAATCAAATTCATATATGTATCCACAAAACATATAAATCAAATTAAAAACATATTGTTGGGTTTAATACGTATTATAAGCAGTTTAATGAATTTAATCCATTATGATAACTTTTTTGATGATTTTTTGACATTTGTAGATTTTTTTAGGTTATACCTTAGATTTATAATCATTAAAGTAATTTTTATTGTTACATGATTCTTAATAGTAATATTGCACTTTTGCAAATACTTTTATTCGAGAAATTTAATTTATTACTAAGTAACATGTTCATATTGTCAACTTCATACTTTCGTATTATTAACATATATTTTTTTTATTTTAATTAGCCATCAATTACTATTTTATATAAATAATTCAGTATGTACTAATATTATATTTATTTTATTGTTTTAGGAGCGAATGCTAGTTGGGATGATTGGTGGACGTACGATGGCATTTCAGGTAAAAATATAATTATTTACGTAAATATAAATATTTAAAATAAAATAGAGTAGTATACTTATTTTAATTAAGCTAGTATTTAAATTTAGATTTACTGAGTTAGTTTAGTATTTAAAATAAATCATAAAAAAATCATATTTCCAAATAATGTTATTTAAAATATATTAATGTAACATAAATCTTTATATTCATGAAAATTAATATATATTAATATTATTTCCTATCACAGAAATATTCTTCAAATGAATTATATATTATAATTAATGAAATACGTAAAAGAATTGGTATCTATTCAATGAAATAAATTCTTATATTATCTAAGTAAGTAGAAAATTATTATAATTTAAGAGTGGTATGAAATTATGGTATAATATAATCATTCTAATTACTGACAGATTGCTAGAAATTAGTGGTAAAACAGTATGTTCAGTTTCAACATTAAGCTTAAAAATTATGAATTGTTCTTTAATATACGTTTATATTCTTGTACGAAATTCCAAAATGTGTTCAAATTTGTCCAAAATATATTAACCTCTCTTATATAACTGCTGTCTTTACTTTAGCAGCGCCGAAAAATGTTTCTATTATAAACAAATAGATATATTAAATTAAATATTGTATATGTCATCTATACTTTTAATAAAGTCGAGAAAAAATAGTCGACAAGAGAAATGAATATTTAATAGAGGTTAGATTATTTAGCTATAGATTGCTATAGATTATTTTAAACAGTTTGAAATAATTAACAATACATTAAAATATCTCGGATATTATATCATATAATTTAAACAATAATACTAAACATAAAAAAAACATTTTCACAAAAAAGGCAAACTGTTCTCAACACTTCTCAAAAAAGCTATTGAAAAATATAAAAACTGTATAAATTCCTAGATTCTTTGACATATCATATTTTAAGAATTACATTAGGGATATTATTTAAAGATCATTTTTTCCAATTCAGAGTGGATCAAAATTTTTTTAGAATATTGTAATGTTATAAAAACCAAATACTCGAGCATTTACAAAAAATTAACTGTTATACTTTGGAATTATTAAAACTATTCTATAAAATCGCATAATACATCTACGAAACAAATTTCAATTAGTAAAATGCAATAATATATACCATTAATCATAAAATTAGTACTATAAAACTAAAAAGCAATGACGGATGGTTTCAATCACATTGATTATGAAACTTTAGCTTATGTCATAATTAAAACACTTCACATTTAATAATTTAGTATGGATACCAAGTGAGTTCGGACATTGTTTTTACAAAAATCAAACAATACTCTTATCTTGAAAACCGAAATAAACATCAAATGGTCGGTAGAAAAAATGATAAACAGATTATAAATTTGATATTTTAGAAATTATATTCTTGTTTAACAAATAAATTACATCTTGATGGGTGTAAGTGGGTCTAAGTGGGTACAACCCGTTAGTTACTATTGTAGCCATATATTGTATGGCTCCTTTTCTTCTGTTTAATCTTGTTCATTTATTATATGCAAATTTAATTGAAGCACGCATTAGAAGTGAAATCATTAAATTACATTAAAATATCTTTAAAATTTTTATAAAAACTCTTAATGTAAACAAGTACATTAATAATCAATAATGTATTACATATAGTAGAAAAATAATTGTTTTACAAATATGAAATCTTATTGAAAATTTGCTTTAATAATTTTAAAATATATTTTAGTAAGTTAAAATTAAATTATTTCTTTGATGTAGCTCAGTCTTTTTCGATCAAGAATTAATGCTTGATTTTAGATAAAAGTATTGATTGAAATAGAGCAAGTATATAAAGTTATAAAAACAGATTTTTAAAATAATATTATAAAATATTTATTCTTAAAGTAACAAATGCTTAAACCTTAATTTCATATAATTCTGAAGAATTTGATTACTGAATTGATTGTACGTACAATTTCATTATTAAATAGCAAATAAGTTGCGATAAATAGAAGAACAAAGCTTAAAGAAATACAAACCATAATTGTATTACTATGATACTGGTCCGCTTGCGAAATGATTCTAAAATAAATTCACCTACACATATTCTAATGCTACCAATGAACGAATGGTATATAAATTCTTCAAAAAACAAAAGTAAAAATAAATAAGAATGAAAGAATTCAAAGTATAATTACATAATATTCTAAACTTATATTACTTCATATTATTTTTAAGAATTAGAAACTTTTAAAAATAAAAAAACTGAATACATGACTGAGTAAAACGTACTATATCAGATACAAAACAATTTCTTAAAAAAATTCTGTTATAACTAGTCTATATTACAGGAAAAAAAAATCAACCTTTATAAATACAGTGAAATACAATAAATATATTTTTAATATCTAAATGTGTACGCCTATATCTGCATTAATTATAGTTATTCAAGCAATTGTACTGAAACTGAAAATATATTATGTGGGCGGAAATGTATTGTTGCTTACCCCGATATTTATATATCCATTATTACATAAAATAGAAATTAAAAAAAAATTAATATTATTGCGTTCATCGTAATTTAAAAATTCTTATTTATAATAATATATTTGTAAATAAGCAGAATCATGTATTGAATTAATTGATATGAAAACCAATATGGAACCCTCTTTGACAATTTCAATTGGTAAATTAAAAACTTGTTTAGATTATTTTGAACCTTTTTCTTTTATTCTTATTTTTTTTTTTTAGTTATAAACGTTAAATCACTGCTATAACTCTGCATTAAATATGCCGTAAGTATTTTATTACATACACAGTTTCATTTTTAACTTATATTTGTGTGTAAGCATCTGCTCGAAGGTTTGTATATTTGATCTAATTTGAAGGATCCAATGATTGAAAATGTATTGAATTTTCTGGCTCGAACTGCCAAGTTCAATAGTTCAGTTTATATGTCGCCAGCTTTAGCGATGTTTAGGAAAGGACATAAGTGGAAGCACTGTAAATATGTACAGTGTACATATTATACAAATATGTACAAACTTCGTTAGAACATCGTTTATTTGGTTTTATTAACAATTACACTATTGTTATTCTGAATTCACTTCTCGTGATAGAGAGTGAATTATGTTCTATCACAATAATGTAGTTGCTCCTTGATGATGGTAATGATGTCGTCGATGACATTATGGGGATCAGCAATGGATTTTGTATTTTCCTTGAAGGGGAATATGGCTTAATTTGAAGTCTATGCTAACGTTGGTACGACTATAATTCCAAAAAGTAATAAAAATGAACCTTACAAGGCTATGCCCTATTGACGTCACGACAAATATCGGCATTGCAACAGATATCGGATCGCTACCGGCGCCAAAAATTTAGCACGATAATATTTAAGGGCTGCGCTTGCCACGCGGCGCTCAGTCTTTGTCTCAGTTTAGCGTAATAACGATTACGCAGTCAACACGAAGAACTCACAATCCAGTCCTTGTCTCAGTCGCAGTCTCAGTCTAAGATAATAACGATTACGTAGTAACACGACGAGCTCACTATTCAGTCTTCAAGCTTCTCTCTACAGTCATCACTCAATGTATACTCAAATAATATTCAAACAGTAAGTAATCTAACAATACAATAGTGAAGCTACATTATCAGAATCCGTTAATGAAGCTTAAACGAATAACGCGCTAATGCTAACATAATCGAGAGTGAAATTATCGAATCATACTACATATATTAACGGATCACACCGACACTAAGATAGCAGCAAAACGGTCACGCTTTAGAAAGCTTCGGTGCGACATTGGCAGCTCTTACGCACCGACATTAAAGCAGGAGCGATCCAGTCTCACTTAGGCGGCATCGGTACGACAGTGGCGGCTCTCACGCATACTACTACAGCGGCACTTCTCGGAAGGGAAGGAGTCACTCCTCACATCACGGAGAGGATACACACTCTCCTCAGCACGTAAAACTATTAAAGAAACTTCCCAAATTATTCGCTTACACCTTCATTCATTCATTTTATGATCATTAACTATTTATTATATTATTATATTTAATAAAGGAAAGAAAAGAAACACTGCATGTAGTATTGAATAATTGCATTGCCCCTTCCACTTGCCAGCAACACCTCCACCCACCATCAAAGGGAGGTTTTTAGTCTGATCCCAGACAATTTTAGTCCTTCGAGCCGGATAAGTGGAAATCAGTGCATTCATCCAATACTGCTACATCGAAAGGAAAACAGCCATAGTAATGATATTCACAAGCAGAATTCCAATTCAAAATCAAAAAGTTTCTTCAATACTGTAAGTACGCTACTATTGTACCCGTTATAACAAAATGTCAACCCAAGACAAAACAGAAATCAAGAAACCGGTGAATGCAAAGGCATGCACGGTCCATGAAGGCACAGACCTCAACCTGGATGAGGTACTATCTATGAGAGACACCATTGATGAGATACATAAGACATTCGTAATAGAACATAACGATATTGAAAACACCTGGCCAGCAACAGGTGTCAACCATACATACTTTACAAAAGGCTCAGTGGAAGAAGAGCTCATATACTATGCCATTGCAAGAGCGAATGTCAGAAGGCTGTGTCGGGAATTAGGCGAATCGACACAAACAAGCAAAACTAACAAGTCTGAGGAGAAGGCGCATCCAGTGGAGTCACGAGAAATGGCTTGTTTTCCCGACATACCTATTCCTAAATCCTTAGAAAACTTAGTGGCACTAATGCAATTTGATATCCCAAATGCAGGGAACTCCATGACAGTGAGCGTAGCCTTAACGCACGTCGATGACCAAACAAGAACGGCATGAGAACGATCACTGGCGAGCATCACTACATTCCCAAGGCTCGCCCAACTGAACTCATTCATACTGGCTCAAGTAGCGGAACTAGACAACGTTACTGAAATAAGAGAACAACAAACTCAATCTCAACCCCAAACATCCGATAAGAAATTCGTAATAACATCTCAATCATCAACGGCGAACGAGGAGGGAGGAAGGCATTG